TTCCCCCCCCCCCCCCCCCCCCCCCCCCCCATAATTCCGTTAAGGTTTATGAATCCAATTTAATCCGTTCTCATATTTTTTGCTAGATAACAAAGGCCACATACTGTTAAAAGATGGATATGATGAAAAGAGGGGATTTGAAAGCATTCACAATACATTTTAGAGGAAGGTCAAAGCATGAAAGAAAGGAGAGAAACGTTTTTTTGGAATGTTGAAGCTCACTTGTATTTTTTATAAACATAACAACATATTTGTCTTTTTTTATCATTTCAAAATAGGAATATTATGTGGAGCTTGATAAGATGAAATTCACAGTTAAAACCTTTTGCTTTCATCTAAACGTGTGAAAAGCGGAGAGTGGGAGAGGAGGTTAGGGGTGAGTGCGAACAGAACGAAAGAGAATGCAATGTGAGAGGTGAGCAAAAAGAAACAACAGAAATTTACAAGATCGTGTCCTGAAAGTTCATCTGCTCATTGTTCGACAATAAAGTTTCAACAAATTATTGATTTATACGTTTTTGGAGAAAAAATTTTAAAATAAAAGCAGAAACACAGATAGGGAACGAATAATTGGTTTATAGGGTAAAGCTTCCGTCAAGTGTGCCTCCGGCTAATAAAGCTGCTGATGAAGCAAACGTCATCAAAAATGTTTTTGTTGCCTAAAAAACATGAGAAAGGAAGGAAAGTTTTCTCGAAGGAGTTTCTGAGCTCTTCTAGTAAAAACCTTTATTAAAACTGATGACAAAGGAGAGATCGGAAGAGAAAATGAATCTCAACAAAGCCTTGGAGAAGCTGATAAATTACAGAGGTCACTCGCCCTCTTTTAATTCGAAATCGATTGGTGCCGGACAGGAGTCTCATATTGTTCTTCTGTTCATCGAAAAAAACGGCCAAATCATATCATATTGATCGAAACTTCCGCTTGAACTGGGAAATATCTGATCAACCTCCAGCTTATTTTCGAGAAATTTCAGACAAATCCTTACAATAAAGTGAAAGAAAATATTCGATTCTTGTAGGAAAAGGAAGAGAAGATCGAATGAATTGATAGAAATTAGAAAAAAAACAATTTTTTCGATCGTCGGGTTGCATCGAAAGAGAGAACTTTCCGATAGAAGTGGAAATTTACTTGTTTACACTAAAATTCAAAATATTTAAAAGTTTCCTCTGACTGATGTTCAATCAAATATGGTTTAAAGATGTGGAATAAACATGAAAGAGAGATAGACAAGCGAGTAGATAGGAGTGAAGGGAATGATAGTTGAGTTAAGTTGGTTGGTTTGGAACAGGAGTGAGTAATGACACTTTGTGCTGATTGGCCGTCGGTCATAACCTTTATCGTCAAGTGTAAGAAGCTGTTTCCAGTAAATCCAACATTCTCTATTGCAAAGAAATTTCTTGAAAAACTACAATAAGAAAGAACAAATGAGAAATGAAAGTGGGAATTTAGAAGGTTATGATCAGTGATAGTTTATTCCATTTTATTTGCAGCATTTTGAATTCACACATCTAGTCAGACAGGAGAATTCCACAAAGGCCAACAACTTTGAAGTTTAAAGAAAAATAAACTCTAAAAGCTGCTTCTTATCAAAAACAGAAAGCTGTCAGAACAGTGTGCGAAAATTGTGATTACGATGATGATGATAATGAAAAGATAATGATAGTGGCAGAAGAAAAAGGGCGGCAGTCAGTTGCGGGTGTTGCTGCTTGAGGTCCCAGTTAAAAGAAGGCAAAGACAGGTTTACTTGACAGGCAAAGATGAAGAAAGAAAAAGATAGAAGAGTGAATAGAACATAAGAGAAGAGAAACAAGTGGAAGAGTCAACGTAAGAGACTCTAAAGAAGAAAAATGATGGGAGATAACAAAAAACATCAAATTACCGAATCTAGCTAACAACTTGTATAGAAAGGAATCAGTGTTACAAATTTTTAATAGGAGAGTTGACCGGGATCTACAGTCAGTCCTGCCAATGCACAATCAAGAAGAAGATTTCAATCAAACCTACAAACTACAATAACGTGACCAAATTAACACTAATGCACATACAACACAAATCATTACATCAATAATTTCGAAAGACAACTACTATTCTAGATATGTATCCGAACGCATCTGTTAGATTGTAATCAAAGAGATCATAAGTAACAAGTAAGATCTTCATTTGCGTTTTAATTACGTATTGTTGGTGAAAACAATACGCCAAAAACAAACAGCTTGTTCGTACTCGTACATAATTCACGTGTTGAGCTGTTGTTAAACCATTGAGGGTTCATACAACTTTCATAGTGTCTTCGCTTGCTCACTGCAGTGTTAACCACACCTCCCAGTACAGTCTTCTGATGTCCTAATATGTTTTCAAATCTTATATTTGTTTTCATTGAATCTTTTGAACGCATCTGTCATTATTTAATCAAAGAGATCATAAGTAACAAGTAAGATCTTCATCTGCGTTTAGTATTTGTTGTCATGTATTATCCACTAGACAACATTCCTTTGCTCCAATCCGTACATGATTTGCGTGGTGAACTCAAATCCGCAGTACTCTAATTCGTAACACATTTACTGCACATTGTTTTGAGATGGAAACGAAATGATTAGTTCATCGGAGAGTATACTTTGATGAGGATAAAATAATTTATTATTTTAAGTGATTTTCACACTACAATACTTCAAACAATAATGAAGAGACCCGACAATTGTGAGATTATCATCTATGACGAGGCATTTTGAAGACAGGTTGAAGCTCTTTCTCTTCTTCATCTTCTTCAGGAGCCGTAGTTTTTTCTTGGAAAATGGGTTTAGGCTGATTCTTTCGATAAGCTTTATCTATGTAGAGAGGATTCTTAGCTGCCTGAAGAAAACAATCAAGTTGGTAAACTGCGTGGCCAGAGATAAACTAACCTCATCAGCATGCCGAAGAATACTAGCACGGACATCTGTATCTTGCAGGAACTCTTTGTTACGTTGTGTACCAATTTGACGAGCCAAGTATGAATGAAGCGTCGATCCGGAGGCAGCGACTGAAAATGTTCATTAAATTGTGTTTGCAAATATTTATTTACCTCTTCCATTCGCACTGGGACCATCCATAGGCACATCCGCTGGTTTTCGGAACTCAGGACGAATTTGGTTATCCCGCATACGTAAATATTTCCGAAGTCTCCAACCAGAGACCTCTTTCTCTTCTCCCTCTTCTCCACGAGGTTGAAACATTTCGAGAGTAAGGGCTGAACGAGTCATTCATTAGATGGAAGACGATGAAGTAAACTCACGTGATAAGACCATTTCTTCGCGAACAACTTCATCAGCTCTGCTTCTCTTGATTGGTTTGCTAACACATCCAAGGATTCCTTTCTCTGACATTTCTTGATCATAATATATCCTGAAAAACAATTTTCATGCGAAAAACATCGCTCGCAACCCTTACTTGATACTTCCATCACTGAAACCTACGAGTATTTGATTCATCTTAGGATGCCAGTCGATTCGATGGACGGACTGAAACAAATCATCTTAGACACACTGAGGGGAATGAACCTACAACTCCAGGGTAATCAATTCTGTACACGAGATCATAAGTTTCGGCATTATAGAACAATAGATAGCCAGGAATGTTGCGACTAGGAGACGAGGTACCAGTGTATATCAACTCACCACGGGGAGAAAATCCACAGTCAGTACTAGAAAAAGAAGAATAAGAAATCTCAAATGACTCCTAACCTTTTCCAAGCATTTTCTAATTCAAAAATCTCATGCAGAGGTTTCTTACAATCTTTGATGGACCAAATTTTCATTGAATCATCCAAACCCCTTGTTACAATCCTCTGAGAGTCATGTGAGAATGCAATAGAGGTTATAGGACCTTTGTGGGCATTACGAACAAGATAGTTAGGATTGACCTGAACGTTCTAACGTCAAGACAAAACAAGCTTAGTGATCTTACATAGAGACTTCCATATTTCCACGCTTGTATGGAACCATCGTCACAGCCAGCAGCCACCATTTTACCGTCAGGGGCATAGCAGCAGGTTTGAGGCATTGCTCTCTTCCCTCCAGCGTTTTTAACTTTTATGATCTACAATGCGTAAGATCAATCATACGACTCATAGAATGACCCACTTTTAAATGCTTATTGAAACACTTTGTGATGACTTTATACTCATCCAAGTTCCAGAATCGAACAGTTCTTAAACAATGAAAGTTGAGACCTATAAGCCGAGCACCGTCTTACCCATCGTCACTGCAAGTCAAGAACTCATTCTTCACTATGGGGTTCCACACACCGCAATTTACAGCAGCAGTGTGCCCCTTGGTATTCTTAACATCAACAAGATACTGATCTCCTGAAAAATTACATAGTTCAGAAGTAATATGATCGCTCTCACCTTTCACAGTTTCTGCCCATTGCTTTCCCGTGCGGTCTATCAGCTTAACCATTGCTTCTCCACTGCAAATCAGACAATTCTCCCCATTAGCAGAAAATGTGATAGAATTGATGACATGACTAAAACAAATATGATGAACTAGATTATAAACAATACAAACCATTCAGCAGGTGTGAGTTCTTTATCAGATCTCAAGCTCATATCCATTTTTTGAAAATCAAAAATTTTGAGTTGATAGTCCATACCTCCTGAACCGAAGCGTTGTCCATTCGGTTCAAACTTGAGTGCAGAAATCTTAATTTAGAGATTACCATGATGAATATTAGGAGAAACTGATACCGGACGATCGCTGTGAGTTAAATTAGCTTCACATGCTGCTGGGATCAGTTTAATGATTGGAATCTAAATGTCGAACGTTAAAAGTAAGAAACAGTATTTCTCACCCCTTCACCGGCATAATCTTCGAAACCGTAATCGTCATCATCATTAATCTGAAACGACAGAATTAATAGTATATGAGTAATTCAACAAACTAACCTTGTCAGCATTATCCAACTTTCCTTCCATGTTAATGATCCTTTGAGATGTCAAACCTTATCTTAGGTTTCTTGTAAATGCTCTCCGAGTCACAACAAGACCAAATATTAGAACCTCGTTAGCCTTGTTTTGTCAAGTTGGTCTTTATCTACAAGAAATCGTAGAGTGAACGGTTGTTTCACAGTCCATTCAATTAATGAAAAGAAAACGGAGGAATGGGATTTAGAGCCAACAGAACAGTCAATGGGCCACAGTACCCGCAAGAAGGAATGTATAAAGGAAGAAACGTTTTCAAGCATGCAGTTTTACTTTGATCTATATTTAATAACCAGCAGAAAACCCTAAAACCAAATAATAGACCGGTCATACGTTTTAGAAATTAAAAATGTACTTTCACGTTTTCACGTGTTGACGTTTACACGTTTCCACGTGAAACTCATAATGAATCATTTTAACCGATTCTTACTCGGTGAACGGTTGTTCAGGAATCAACAAAAGTATAGCCCATTATTTGTAAGATTAGAATACTTCAGATATCCGAAAAACGAAAGTGATTCTACTCCAACATGATTCTGAAGACTACTCAATCACCCTCTGTTTATACTAGCTTAGCGGTATGATGAACTATTGATTTAAAACATAAAATAAGAGTTCTTTCAGTCCTATACTTGTGAATAACTGACCCCAGGAACATATTCAGAAAAAAACATGCAAATTCTCAACAAGAAAAGCTCGGGCCACTCAAGAAAGTAAGTCAGTTTTCTCTCTCTGTACGTTTTCGAAAATGGTCTCATGGCGATTGGCATCATCAGCAAGCGCGGACGAAAAACTCCGCCCATTATTCGAAAATATGAAAAATAAATTACCTTGAACCTTTTATTTTATCTATGTAACTGTTAATTTTTTTATTTATGCTAATTTATGACTTCTAAACCTAATGTTTCAGATTCATAATGAACTTAAATGATAGCAGTTTGTCCACTTCGTCGACATCTCATCCGGTAGGATTTGAAGTTTGCAAAAATTGGAAATATCTTTTCAGACTCTCGCTAGAATAGTTTCGAATGTTGTGGAGACACAACAACAACTGGTAACTCAGATTCAGTCTGTTACAACAGCCCTGGAATCATTAAAAGTAAATATTTGATAGCTTTGGTTCTGTATGATCTATTTGTAGTTGGAACACAATTCTTCTATTCAAGCACTACGTGAGGATTGGAGAAGAACAGACGATAGATCTCAAAAACAAGTTCAGTTTAAAGTTTATATCAAGTTTATGTTTTTTTTCTCCAGGTAGAAGAGATTCGTGATGCTCATAAGAAAGAAATCACTCGTTTATTAGATTTAATAAAAACTTTAGTTGACAGCAAGCAAGAACAAGGCTCTCGATCTATTCAACCTCCTGTTGTGCCACAGGTGAGTTATTTCATTCCTTCATATTGTGAAAAATTTATTTTCTTAGCCTTTCATGGTTCCCGGACACGTCGCTCAGAATGATGTTCAACGAGCCCTTATGATGCAAACTGATCCTCAGGTTTTTTATCTCTTATTTATTTTTTAAGTTTTAAATGTTTAGTTGCGAATGATGTTCTTACAACAACAACAACAGCAACAACAACAGCATCAACAAGCTCAACTTGTTCACCAATTGCAACAGTCACACATTGCCCAAAATGTGCTGCAAGCTCATGCACAAGCTCAAGCACACGCTCAAGCTCAGGCACAAGCACAAGCTCAGGCTCAATCTCAATCTCAAACTCAAATTCCTGTACCAGTACCTGTACCAATGTCACTTTCCACTCAACAGAGTTCTTTGCCTGTTAATTCGTTAGTTTCTTTTTTCTCGACTTTTCCTAACAATAATTTTTTTTCAGACTTCAAAGTACCTCTTTCACCCAAAAGACGTTCGCCCCTATTCCCGTTACACAAACAGCACCAGTTGAAGTCGAGAAACCTGCTGCAGTTGTTCCAGCCGCTCCAGCTAAGGTAGAAGCTCCAAAGCCTGCTATTTCTTTTGGCTCATTGTTCGCTCAAAACTCCGATAAGACTAAGGCTGCTCCTATCACTAACATCAAGAAGGTATTTTGTTCACTTTGCAAGGTTTTCTAAATTTGTCAAACATTCAGGAGGATAATTCTCCTGTTTCTGCTCAACCGTTTTCTGCGTTCGGTAGCAAGCCTTTCACCCCTACTGTTACTACACCTGTGAAAACTGATACTAAAGGTTCACTTAAAATTTTTTTGGATCAAATAATCGTTAAGCTTTTAGAAACCCCAAAAGCCGTCGATGATGAAGATAAAGTTGAAGAATTTGAGCCACAAGTTGATTTTAAACCTGTAGTTCCTCTTCCTGATTTAGTGGATGTCGTTACTGGAGAAGAAGGAGAGGAGGTTTGAAGACGCACTGAATTTCTGTTAAAACTGTGATTCATTTTAGACTTTGTTCGAAAACAAATGTAAACTTTTCCGTTTCGCCGAAACAAAAGAATGGAAAGAACGAGGAACTGGAACAATTAAGATTTTACTTGATCTGAGTACCACTAAAAGAAGAGTTGTAATGCGCCGTGATCAGGTACAGCTTCGTACTTCTCTCTCGTTTCAAACGATATCTTTTAGGTTCATAAAGTTTGTGCTAACCATCCTCTCTCGAAAGGCATGACCATAAGCAAAATGCCCAAGAAAGACAAGGCTTTAATCTGGCATTGTATGGACTTTTCTGATGAAGAACAGAAGCATGAACAGTTTTGTGCTCGTTTCGCATCAGTTGAAGTTGCTGAAAACTTCATGAAGATTTTCCAAGAAGGAGTTGATGATTCAGGTTTGACTGAGACGAGATGGGCATTCATTTTTTTATCTCAGTTGAAGTCAAGACACCCGTGAAAGTAGTTCCAAAATCGAGTGATGAAAAGGCAGTGAAAAAAACTGAAGCAAGTACATCAAAAGAAGAGCCAAAACAACAAGGATTCGGTGATAAGTTCAAGTTGAAAGGCGGAGAGTAAGTCCTTGTTTTTTTTTCAATTTTGCATTATTTCTTCAGGTGGAACTGTAATGATTGTTATACTAAAAACTCCGAAGGAGATGCAGCATGTATTTGCTGTGGGGCCAATAAGGATGGAACAGCTGCTAAGGACGTTTTCCCTAAATCTATTATTCCTCAGCCAACTGGTACATCGAAATTCTCGTTCGGTTGTGCTGCCGCTGCTGCCGCCAAAGAGTCCGATAATATACCCGTTGGAAATGCAAAACCAGGATTGTTCGGGTTTGTTTTCATAATTCGTTATCTTGATATTCAAGTATATAGAAGTGGAATTAATAACACTACTTCGTCTTTCGCTGCGGGCGGATCTTCCCCATCTATATTCGGTGGAAACAAGGCTAATGCTCCATCTGCAAGTACTTCTGGAACTCCAAGTGCTAGTGGTTTTTCATTCTCAAGTGCTGCCTCATCTGCCACTACAACTCCTAACAACTCTGTAAATTTCTCATTCAAAAATACTGGTATCATCTTGCTGTTCTTCGTTTTCACATTATTGTTTAAGGTAAGACACTATTCGGAAGTGCCCCAGGAAGTGCCTTTGGTCAAGCCGCTTCCGCAGCTGCCAAAGACGCTGATAAGGATAAAACAGAGGCCAGCTCCGGAAGTACTCCAGCTACTGCTGCTGCTCCAACGAAAGTTTTCGGAAGTGCCTTCAGCACTGGTGTCAGTTTTGCTAACTTCGCCAGCAAGAGTCCCTCAGGTGGAATCTTCTCCAAAGAAAACTCAGAGAAAGCTAAGGCTGAACTTGCTAGTCAACAAAAAAATACAGTTCGTTAATTATATTAAGTTTTCTCTCAGCATAATTTCATTGCAGTTGTTCTCCAATTTGAAGGATAAGAAAAAAGACGAGGATGGTTCTGGAGATGAGGGAGCTGAAGGAGAATTCGAGCCAGATGTCAACTTTACTCCTGCCTGCCCACTACCAGAACTTGTTAAAGTAGTAACAGGAGAAGAAAATGAAGAAGTTGTCTTCTCGAGTAGATCCAAACTTTTCCGTTTCGATAACTCAACGAAAGAGAACAAAGAGCGTGGAGTTGGAGAGCTTAAAGTAAGTAACGTCGGCATTGTTTATATATATTTGTATCAATGTTATAGATCCTAAAAAACCCTGAAACCGGTAAATATAGAGTAGTAATGCGACGAGAGCAAGTGCATAAGCTCTGCGCAAACTTCCATATATCTAAAGAAATCACTTTGAAACCAAAGGCAAGCAAGCCTGAAGTTTACAGCTGGATGTGCACTGTGAGTTTTTAAATATGAATCTTTTCAATATCAGAACTTGTAGGATTTCTCCGAAGAAACTGAAGGCCGACCAGAAATTTTCACCGCCAAGTTCAAAAACCAAGAAATAGCAGAGCAATTTGTGAAAGTTTTCGGAGACGCTCAGGTTGATTATTGCTCATTTTTCACGAGTTTAATGTCATTTTCAGACTAATCTATGAGAAAATATACCCTAAGCATGATCTTCAATCTCGAGAAGTACACCTTGAGCTGTAGATGACGTGGCATTTCGCGTTCATCTATAGAAAATTAGTTTGAAATGTAAAATTGAATGAATTTAAATTTTTTTTGTAGAAAATTTTCAAGTTTAATCATTTTAAAATAAAAAAGTTAAATTTATTGTCGTTTTGTTTGTACAACCGGGTTCTTAGAGCAGAGGCGGGTGATGAGGAATATAGTACTCGTGTTCTATCATGAATCTGTTCATCACTAGTGCATATCAAGACAGTATTTCCCCTTTCATACAAGTTATCTCACTTTTTATTAATATAGAAAGTAAAGAGAGCGGGTTGATCCGCTGTTCGTCACAGTTTGATTAAGTTGTGGAGCTAGTCTAATGTACTTTAGCGGAGATGCAATAGAAAGAGATTGTGACAAGCCTTGTCACAGGGAGAAAAGGTAGATTCAATAGAGATGAATTTTGTTATTTGAAAATTCTCGGTAGCCTTCTATAAAGAATCATCCAGTTCTGTGGCAAATCAGGGCTGTGCTCATCTGTTTTGCAAACATGACCGATATTTCTCTGTAGCCTCTTTACCTGGCAGCATACATCATGCATTTGAGGAGGAATCGGGAAAGATGAAGCGAAGAGAGAAAATTTGTTCTCAACGAAAACTAACTACACGGAAAAGTCAATAAAGTTTGTCTTTTCACTCGATTTTGTGGCTCATATCTTACTTTGCCGATAGAGAATGGCGTTATCATAAATTAATTTCAAGTTATTGAATTATTTCGCATCCCTTATATGCCGATTCTGTACTATGCATACCATAGATGAAACATTTCGTGATTGCCTGTTTGTCTAGACGATCATCTTTTTTTCTATATGTGTGTGTGATTCATTGCTTTTTTTTGCATGTTGTAGGAGCTAAAATTCTTACTTTAGAAGACATGGATTTGTTGAGACTTTCTGTGCTTTCACTTGTTCTGATAGGCTTTGTCTTCTCCTCACCTCCACCTCAAAGAACTGATATTGAACCCGCAGTATATGACCTCGTTTCCAATGTGGTTGGACAAAGCGTTCCTGAAATGCCTCCCAGTTTTCAAGATAATCCGAGTGTCGACCATGTAAGTTTGTTTAAAGCTGTATTTGACGAGACATAAAAATGTTTTGGCGAAGATGTTTTCAAAATTGAAGACTTTGGCTATTTCTTTGTAGAGTACAGCAAGTTCCGTAAGAGGTACATCGGAGGGACTAAGCAGGGTAAATAACGATTTATGTGAAAATTGATTTTATCACCACCCCTTTCCATACGAAGAGTTTCTCATACCATGCATGTAGACCTTACAATTTGAATTTGTACTCTTTCAAAATCATCTGACGATTTTTGCTAACATAATGCATCCCGTTTAGTTCTTCACACCTTTCCCGATGTCCATTCCAATACCTTACTATGATCCATACAACAAGGGACAAGATCATGAGAATAAGGATGACACAGCTTTAAGATGTAAGAGATTTCTCCAATCAAATGTTTGATTTTTGTCATTGTTTAATGTCAACAAAATTTTATTGATTCCAGTAGGAATCGGAATTGGTTGTGGTTTGTTCTCGGCATTAGTTGTCTTCCTTTGTATTTTCTGTTGCTGGTATCGAAGATGTCGGAGGGTAACTTTTCTAGTTTTATATATTATATGTCATATCCTTACAGAAACAAAGAAACAACATGCTTTTTCCGATTGTTGTCCCACGTCAGAATTCTTATGTCAAACAGGAAGATAGTCCTCCTATTGTGAGGTTAGGCGTTTATTCAGTGCTTCCATGATTTAAAAAAATTCAGGACTGATCCTTGGGAATTGCCTAGAACAAGTCTTATCATCGACTATGAACACAAGCTAGGTAGCGGAGCCTTTTGCAATGTTTTCTTTGGTAATCCCAGCTTTACTACCTAATACTGATGTTTTGATCATAGGGAAAATAATCGGGGAAGCGCCAGTAGCTCAGGTTTTTCCCGGAGTGAGAACTGTAGCATTGCACGATTGTGAAGTCGCTGTTAAAATGCTCCCATCCTTCGCTGATGAAATCGCGAGATCAGACTTCATGCAGGAAATTAATTTCATGAAATCATTGGCATATCATCCTCATCTCGTATCCATGTTGGGCTATGTGGCTGATACGCGAAGCCCCTTGCTATTAGTTGAATACTGTGAGAGAGGCGATTTGCTCCACTATATAAGAGAGAGACGTGCCGAGATCAAAGAGGTGACTTTTAAACTTCTTCGGTTTTTAACTATTGGTTAAGGGCCCACAAGGTGCGGATACGACTAAAATCAAAGATCTTTTATCCTTTGCTTGGCAGATCAGTAACGGACTAGTAAGTGAAGCTGTTTATTTGGTTTATGAATTTGTCATTACAGGAGTACTTGAACAGTGTCGGTTGTATTCATCGTGACATTGCTGCTCGTAACGTTCTAGTGGATGGCGTCAAGCAATGCAAGGTACTTCTGTCATTCCTATTTCCCTCTTATCTTTCTTATTTGTCATTTTGAGATTGCCGATTTCGGGTTATGTCGTTTAACTGATAGTTTGCTTTACACGGCCAGAGGCGGTCGTTTACCTTTGAAATGGATGGCACCTGAAAGTTTACAATCGTTCGAATATTCTTTTAAGAGTGACGTGTAAGTCTTTAAATACAAAGAAATATAAACAAAATGGAAACAGTTGGTCGTATGGCGTGCTGCTCTGGGAAGTTTTTTCGTTGGGAGAAGTGCCGTTCGGTGGAATTCAAACAACTGATCTTTTGGAATATTTACAAAAAGGACATCGGTTGATCCAAACTGACCATTCCACCGATGAAGTGTACGTTATTACTTCTACTACCATCTGATTTGAAATACGTTTTTCAGTTATGAAATAATGAATTTATGCTGGAATATTGAGCCCAGACAGAGGCCAACTTTCAGACAGGTGAACTTATTCATCCATCATCATTCAGTTCATACCATTCCTTCAGATTTGTATAAAGTTCGCTGGTTTATTAGAATTGGCTACGGAAAGCTATGGATATCTAGCTCCTCGTTCAACGAAACCAGCCAATGTGCAAATAGATAACGTTTAACTATTTTGAAATGTCTTGCTCAAAGTGTATTGTTGATTTCCTTCACATTTCCAACGTTTGTGGTGTTTAATAACGGGTGACCTCATTTGAATGGTATTATTTGATGTCTTTAAAACATAAAAATGATTGAAATGAAAACTGCTTTGTTTGAACTTGAAAAACTCAGAATTTTGGGTTAATTAGCATATCCCTTGTACACGTCAGTTTACGCGCGCGCTGCAATTCATTTTCGAACTTCTTGTGAAAGGGAACGGTTGCGTTTTTGTACAACTCGTAAGTTCGCCATTCATCTCTCGCAAATTTCAGAAAAAGTTACGCGAACCTCGGAATCCTATACGTCGAAGATGTTCTCAAACTATCAAATAAAAGGAACAATTGGAATAGAATCGCTTGTTCAATGGTCAGTTCTCTATCTCTTGGCTGCGAAACCATTTTTCTGATCTTGTTTTTTCTCCTTTCAATCATTTTTCACAACTTTTGTTAGAGTTCAGTTCTAAGTTTCAAATTTTGTTTTATTTTGTAAAGTCTTGGATCATATATTACGCTTTAGAAAGCATTAATGCCTGTTGTCCAAGCCTAAAACCAGTCTGTCTCCTCCTTATCCGGATCGTTCTGCATCTCTTCTATTCTTATAATTCTTTTAAATATTTTATCCTGAAACTAGAGTGTCTACAAACGGTGTTGGCTCTTTGTCTATTAGCTGTTGTTCACCCTCATGTACTTACTAGACGAAGAAATCCTCCTTTCTTTACAATTTATTTTCATGTTTCAAGAATACTTTGCTTGCTTCACCTTCACATTCACCTTCTAATTACTTTTCAAGAAAATTATTTTTTTTTCAAAGTTTCAAAACTTCCGGCTCTTGATGGTTTGCATTTTTCATCATACATGGTTATGTTTGATTGTCGGCCAAAGAAAATAGCAGGTTTTTCGTGTTCTGCCCATCTTCATATGAGATACATGGTAGATTGCTTAGCTTAAAGCCAACCAGTTGTTTAAATTCTCAAAAAGCCGGATTTTCAATCATTTTTATAAATGATCTCTCCTTCTCTTGATAACTTAAACTTATAAGCTAATTAGTTTATGTTTTGTGGCATTAAAGCGATCTGAAAATTTTCTTCGCATCCTTTTCTAAAGTTGGATGAGATCATGTTCTCGAGATAATTAAACATTTTTATTTTTCTTTTTCCTGATCGTCTATTTGATTTTAACCCTTTATAGCTGAAATCTCTACCTTTTTGAGGTCATTCTATTCAGACGCTTTCGATTAGCTAGAAATGTCTTAATATCTCATTAAACTTGAAACTTTTTCTGTTTTCCAGGCATGCAGCCTCTAATACCAATACGGAGATTCATTTGTCTTGTGTTTGTTTTCATACCTCATGTACATGGTCAATTTGCTGAAATTGCCCAGATTGCTACTTCACTATTGGGATCTGGATTAGGCGGAGGTGTTTTACTCGATTGTCCCAAATTTAACATTTCGCTTGTTAGGGTTAGCCGGAGCTGGATCTGCAGCAAATGCAGCAGCAGGAGCCGGTGGAGCTATAGCACAGATTGGACAATGTGAGTTTGCTATAAGTTATAACAACACGTGGTTCTTGTCTGAACTAGATTTTGGTTTTCTCTTTTTGAGAGGTTAAACGTGAACGGTGGATTGTCCTTTGTAATTGAACGTCTTTTGTCAAGGGACATCACACTGAGTTGAGAGGTCTTTATGTGACTTTCCCTTCTTGGGTTTTCTGTCACCTTCGGTTAATTTCTTCCAGCTTAGCAGACAGACCGTTAAAATTCATAAAACTTTGAGTGTTTTGTCGATTATATTTCATCCTTCCTGATCCTTTTAGGCTTTCTCGTAAAGAAAGCCAAGCTTTCTTAGCATAACAGGTTTCATCTTGAATCCAATGACGACGATACGTTGCTTTTTCGTCGAATTGACCTAAAGCAGCTTTTTTATATTGTCCACCAGCTGGATGGTGATGTACTTTCGATTCTTTTAGCTTAAAACTATCATTGATTTAAAAGAAGTTCAGTTTTGGGGATTTTTCATTGATATTGCATTTTAAGTGTATCAGCTGGCTCAAGGAGCTCTGCAGCTTACCGGAACAGGTGTCGGTGTCCTCAATCAAGCTTCTGAAGGAAATTGGTTCCCCGCTGCTTTGGAACATGCAGCCAAAAATGCTGGTATTGAAGAAATTGTTTCTTTTTGAGACCATCCCTGTTTCAGCAGCCCTTAGAACCGGTCAAGGAATGAGTTTGGGAGCTCTAGGACCCCGCCCTCAGCCAACCAATATAGGACCAGAGTTTGGAACAAGTAACATTGGACTATTGAGAAAACGAATAACTTAACTTTCTCAGGTTTCCCTGCTCCAAATACGGAAGATTACACAGATACTGAGGATCGTACACCAGTCTCTGTTCCTGAACCTAGTCCTCTGGTAAAGAATATCTTCTAAACTTGAAATTGGAAAAAAAATGTTAAGCCATCTCCAAACACTTCGATTGATTTTGAAGACAAAGATGAGGACTTAACTCGCCCATTAGGGAAAGAAGATTCCCTGCGTATTCTACCCGAAATCGATGAATCAGTTCAGGTAAAACTCATTTTGAGACAAGAAACAGGATTTTTAGACTGAGTTACCGCCAACTACAACGGCTCCTCGTCAAATCCGAATTGAGCTTCCAAAGAAAGCTAATGGTATTGAAGAAGAAAGCGACTATGAAGATCAGGTAAGAATAACGACAAAAAATATTTGACACATTTTCTAAGATCGCAAGACGGGAAGAAGAAGCAGGATTCATTGGGAATAAAGACGAAGATAATAATCTGGTATTATGAAATTCTAAAAAAATGTATCAGCAAAATTAAGTTACAACCTGATCGTAATGCTGCCGCAGCAAAAACAGTTGAAATAGAAAAGAAACGGAAAGTCGTACCAAATTTGTCTCATCTCATTGAAGTGCTGAGAAAGAGTAATTTGAAAGAAGAAGAAATAATGGAGATCGTCAACCAAGTATTCTTCTGCTTGTTTGTATATGTCTGACACTATGTGTTATAGGTGGAAGGCAATGAAAAAGTTGAGAAGCCACCAAAGATCGATTTCAGTTCAGGTGTTCAAAATATTGGAGAAAAGGTAAATTTCTTGATACTCCGTTCCCTATCCTCTATATGTTCAGAAAGCAGAGAACAGAGAAAGAATAGCGGTTGCCTCCAGAAAACTTTCAACTCATCAAACAACTGTTCGTTTGCAAATAAGAATAAAATTATTTTGTAATTTCAGGAAATTAATACCCAAGTCAATCAGCTTAGACAAATTCCTGATTTGTCAGTTGTTACTCTCCCACCTGTAGCTCCTGCTGTCCAAACACCAGCTCCATTCGCTTATCATGTAAGGTTTTTTAAAAATTTTAATTTTTTCTTTTTCTGTTCCCATATAATCACAAACTATTAAATACTCGTCACTATTGAATGTTCAACCTTTCTATGATCTTTCTTCTTTCAGCACACCGGTCATGCTGGACTTCCTTACTTAGGTCAAACGGCTAATAACCTAGTTCCACGAGCAGAAGCGATTAATCAAGTGAGTACAGTGGTATACACGCTCTTATCACAAATACCTTACAATAGAATTTCAATATTAACAATCGTCTCCAAAGAGAGATTGCTCCAACCTCTGTTACCACACAGTACCAGAAGCCATTGCCACAACAACAGCAACAGCAGCAGCAACAACAACAACAGCAACAACAACAGCAACAACAACAAGTTTGACTCGCAAAATTTCGTTTTTAAACAGAACTTTTAGATTTACTACCCACACCAGGCACAGTACCAATCAAACTTTTATCAACAAGTGTGTCAACCATTCAATGACTTGAAACATGTTCCTTTATAGCAAAGACCTATCCCGCAATATCCTCAATATGGTTTCAACAACAACTTTTACAATACCCAGCAACAGCAACAATTTTATTATCCTTATCAACAACCACAACATCTGCAACAACAGCAATACTTGTAAATCATAGAGTTTTTCCTGTTTCTTCAATTAATCTTTCAGTGCTCAACAGCAGCAAAGACCCCAACAAGCAGCCTATCCTCAACAAAATGCCTATCAACAAGGTTTGCATATTTTAACTTCAATTAATCAGGTTCCGATTAGGATCTGCTCAAATACCGGCTCAACAGCTAACTCGTGAAGCTCCTGCAGCAAGAATCGTACAGCCTCCTGTTCTACCAACCGTACTCTCTCAGACTTGTAAATTCTAACTTATCTTTTTTTCAGGTTTCAGGTGCTGCACAAAGAGGAGTAGCAAATTTCCCTCTTAAGTCGAAGAGCGCAGGAGTAACAAGCCATTCAGTAAGTTACATTTACTCTTCTTATGTTCTTTATCACAACAGTTACAGGAGGCTCAGCAACAGCAGCATATATTCAGACAATTGAGAGAATCAAGTCTGCGTACCACGTCTGCCCCACCTCTTCGTCCTTTCCCGACCCGTACGGCCAGAACACAGCCACTGACGACGCCAAGTCCGGTGCGAACGTCATTTGGTGTGGCTAACCAACCAGCTAACAACCCATCTTTACTAAACTCTGTTTATGGGAACGGTTCACCATTGACTGTGGTATCTGCTTCATCAGCATCGAGAGTTGTTCGAACAGCTCAACCTGCTGCGCCTGTTCAACCCTCACAAGTTCATCAGATTTCTCGACATGCCAATTAAGGTCAGTGCATGGACACAATGCACTTCAATCATGAGAAAAAGCACCCAGAACTCTTTGAGCTTCTTATCTTTCAACCGGCTGAGTTCCGGGCTGATAGTGTGCAAATATAGATTTAAAAAATAGATTAACGTAAAGTGTAGTAAGTAAGTAAGTGTAGTTCATGGTTTGAATTAACCAAGTTAGACTTTTGGATAATGTAGGATAGAGGCTAATCATTTTCATTTCTGTGTGCGATTTATCACTAATCAACAGCTTTGGCTGAGAAATGAGCAAACTGCTTTAGCCTTTTCCATATTTGTTTTTCAGAGAATTCGTCTCCCACCTGGAATCATCGCTCATGGCGATCTAGTGGCTAATCGAGATCCTGAACAATCCTTAATCTACCATCCTATTCATTATACTCCAAATAACTGGAATCGTTTCGATCAAAGAACTTATCTTGTTGGGTGATTCTCTTCTAAAACAGTTTCACTCATCATTCCCATCCCCTAATTTAATAATTATTTCGCTCAATTATCTTCTATTTTTTCAACATTTTCCACCTCAGGTTCTTGCCAATCTTGACTTCAAAAAAGGAATTTGCTGTTGAAATTCTCCATGTAGTCTACGTGTATATTTATGAACATAAATTATTCAAAATTTATTGATGAGATCTATTATGAGATCAGATTGAAAAACTTCTTCACTGCTTCATCTTCAGTTACTCTCCACGTCATGTCTATTTGGACTCAACAATGGCCTCATTACCGATTCTCCATATTTCTTTCCGAAAACAGAGAGTAGCATTGTCCATTTGAAGAGCATCCAACACCATATTCCAGTTATCCATAAGTTTTCGCCTTGCAGACCTCCAAATATCTTATGTTCTATTACAACCGTTAATTGCTCTCACCAGCTGTAGTCAAGTTCTGTTGACTGATACCGGCATAGATGAAGCAGAATGTCATTCCTATCAAAGCGTTTACATAAATGAGAAAATCTGAAAAGTTTCAAATTAACATAGAAAGCGAGAAAACACCTACTTATCCAACGTGTAAGGAAAAATGTTGATGGTGCCCAAGTTTGAATAGTTTGTTTCTTATAAGACCAATGTAGATAGAATAACCAAGTTGCGAACAGTGCGGAGCTGAATGCCAGACAAGTTGCTGACCAATTCTACATAAGAACTAAGAGTAAAAGAATACGTCTGTTTGAAAACTTACACCATATTGCCAAGCAAAAGTTATACAGGCAGTATATCCGGCAAACATTCCAAATCCAGCAAGCCATAATTGCAAAGTACAATTATGCCAACAATCTAAATATGAGAATAAGTAAGTGAGACATTGAAAGCGTTATAAAACCTTTTCGGAAAATTCTTTTCTTGGGAGCCACTTCCTTAACTTCATTGTTGTTATTCTCAATGACAGGGGTTTGATAGGAAGACATGTTGGTCTGAAACAAGAAAAAACGAATAAGGAGGTTAAGTTGAAACAATTCTATTGCACAGAAAGGAAGTAGACTACAAAGTTTTTGATCACAAAGAGAATGATTTGAAAAAAATTTTTCAACAGAAAGGACAAACGCTTCTGTTTTTCTATGACTTTCTTATCTCGTCTGCTTTATAAATAAATGGTTCTTCTTATCATTCCTAAAATCATAATTACATCATATAACACCATGACGAATCAAAAGCTCATCCCGTATTTGCATAAAAACTTCCGTCAAGCGTGTTTTTTTTTCATTTTCATTTCTTCTTACGCGCAGAGTGGTTGCATTCTAAACTGATCATCAGAACAACAACATGACACGTATGTAATTATGCAAATTAGTGGGTTTACGAATTACGTGAGTTGGGTAAAAGGTTGTTTTCGTTCATTTATATTCGAATGGACGCTCATCAGGAAGTCAATAGTTACAAACTTTCTCCGTATGTTTTGAAAGAAGAAAAAACACTTTTGAGATTCTTAGATACTTCCAATTCTTAACGTTTGTTTTGGAGAACTGGATTGTGCTTTTCACTACTTTCCTCGTACTGTTTCTAACAACATCTATCTTCAACAAGTTCATCTCACCTCTTCTTCACGAAAAATATAGTTGAGTATCAACAGAATGGTGTTAGTCAATATGGTTTTATAGAAGAATGGCTAGACTACCATGAGACGTTAACGGCTATGAAAACTGCATTAGAAGCGGATTATGAGGATTTGTGGAGAAATCCTGAGTTCTGTCTGATTTTCATCAAAGTACATTCTGAGATTTTCACTTTTGTCTGAAGCTTTATCTCTCAGCTCTATGACGAATACCAAGTACTATTGAATGAAGCTCGAAGCGATCCGGAAGGAAGAATGAGGAGATACTCAAGTTTTAACAAATACCAAATGTTGAATCTCAAAGAATAATGAAGCTGTTTTTGTGTTTTAGTCCATTTCTTCATATTTACATGATCAGGTTTGTCGATCAAGCTGAAACTTGTTTGAACACAACCTTTTTCTTTGAACTCGAAAAGTTTTTCTGCAGTTTAAAAGCTCCTTATAAGGGGATCTTCGGCAAACCTCAAAGCTTCATCCTGTTTCATCTTTGTCTTTCTATGTTTGTAATCTATTCGTTAATAAGATATTCGTCTTTAAGATGTCCACACTGGTTGGAGTTTCATCAGCTCTTGGAGCTGTTGCTGTTCTCTTCTCTCTTTACTCTATCAGTTCTATCGTTGGCGATATCAATGGATTAGAAACTGAGATTTCAGTCGGAATGGATGATTTCAAAGTATGACCTGTTTTCTGTTCCGGTCTCACATCTTTCATTTCCAGACCATGACTGAAGCTTCCTGGGCTTATATTCTCGATATTCGTTCTGATCCTCTGGGAAGTGGAACATCTAAGTCTTTCAGATCGTTCATTGGAAGAAATAAGAGAAATGCTGATGATGAATGTAAATGTGCTCCACAGTCTGAGGGATGCCCAGCTGGACCACCAGGAGATCGTGGAGAGCCTGGAAAACCAGGACCAGACGGACCAGATGGCTCTGATGGAAGCAATGGACTTCCAGGAGTTGCCTTCCCACCTGAGAATGTTATTCACACTGAGTGCATTAAATGTCCACGTGGACCTCCAGGAGAGAGAGGATCTCCAGGAGAGCCAGGACCAGACGGAGGTGTTGGAAGACCAGGAAGAAAGGGACCCCCAGGAGATGCTGGACCACGTGGAGAAGCCGGAGAAACTGGAGATGAAGGCCCAGCTGGAACTGTGGGACACGAAGGACCAAAGGGAGAAGCTGGTGCAGCTGGAGTTGTATACAGAGATGGAGAGCCAGGACGTCAAGGAGCTATCGGAGAAAAGGGAGCAGTTGGAGAACCAGGAAAAGATGGAGAACCAGGAAAAGATGGTGAAGCTGGAGCAACTGGACATCCAGGACGACCAGGAAAGGGAGGACACCGTGGAAAGAACGGAGAAAATGGAATCCCAGGAGGAAATGGAAAGCCAGGAGATGATGCTGGATACTGTCCATGCCCAGACAGAGAATAAACATAAATATAGAATAAAGTATTTGAGAAATGTGTAAAACAATTTGTCAACACTAGTTTGAGAAGATAATTGTGAAGGAAAGAGGTGGAGAATCTGGAAGGTTTCACTCTTCGCGAAATCCCTTAAGAGAAGTATAAATATGGGAAGAAGCGAATTTTCCTCATTTCCTATTCTTATATTTTCTTTTCTCTCTTCAATTTGTAGAAAAAGGAATATTATGAGATAGGAAAGAAAATCCTAGCTTATAACCAGTCGCATACAATTGTTAAGACCAAATCAAGGACAAAGCGTTTTCCTTTTCTGTGCAATTGATGGTATTTCTCATGAATTTTACAATTTTATTTTAAGTATAATGAGATTCCTTCTAGAAGCTTTCAAACACCTTCTCTTCCCTGAATATCTTAATTCCAATATGGAAATTTTGATTTGAACTTGTTTAGCTTCGCCCTATATTTTCTCAACTACTGTTACCATTGCCTTTGCTTTCAATAGTTTGGGATGAGAGCTATGCCGAATTCCCAGCTTCCCACATCTTCACGTGTCTCAATCCTCTCCTTTCAGAATTCTTTCTGTTTCCGTCTATTATTTCTCTTTCTCTTTTTCTACATTATACACTAGTCCAGTTTAGCTAAATCTGGCATTTATATAGCCTACCTGTTTCATGCAAATGACCCCTTGGTGACTTTCCTATCTGCACTTCCAAAACCTGATTCTCTTTTTGCTTTCCGTCGTTCATCTTCAAGATGTTTCCTAGATCCCTCTGCGACCACCATCGAGAAGAAACCCTTCTCGTCCGTTTTTTAATCAAAAAATGTTTCAGATGGTTGAAAAATGGTTAATATGTTTTCTTTTCTTCCCTTTGATCTCTTCTCAGTTTCTAAGTTTGAATCTTCATCGTCATCAAAGCTGTCCTCATCGGAAAAGTTTCTTTACATTATATTCTTCTGTCACCTCGTTCATTGAAGATGCGCATTGGTCGAAAAAAATTGAGTTTGAGGGAAGTCAGAACGGGAAAGGAGCAACTCTTGAGCCAACTGGACAAGGATGTTACCAAATCAAGGTTTTTTGAATCATAAGCCTACTTATGATTGAAATTTGAGGGAAAAGTAACAATTCTGGAAGACCTGACAAACGAACTCCTCATTTATCTTTCCGTGTCTACTACTGGAGATACCACAAAACCACCAGAGCCTTGTCGAGATCCTAATCTGGAAACAGGGTGTGGCGGTGTGGGCTCTTGGTGAGTCTCTATTACTCTTTCAAAGTTTGAAGGAAAGGCGCTTTTCAGCTTGTTTTGCCGTCCTTGCCACTCTCTCGAAGGAATCGGGAAGGTTCTCGGAGCCCAACTTGTCGTTAACGGAAAAACAATTGGTTGTGAGCCTTTGAAGGTTTCCAAGAGAAAGTAAAACGACTATCTCACTGTGAAGCTTTACAGAAAGGTTCTTATGATGATGTGCAGCTGAAGTTCTGCGTTCCTGAAGTGAGCAAACTGATTGCTTGGCAAGGAATCTCAGAGCAAGCTATTGATCATATTTTAGCTGCTACAACTCAGGTGCTTAACCACAGAGAATATGAGAAGTAAAATGACTTTACAGGAAGGAAATAGTGTGCCGAAGTTAAATCTATTCGTGACAGTCTTCATTTTCGACAAAGATGTTCGGCCTCTACTAACGTCAGTTTGGCTATAAATATAAAATCACAAAATGTTTAAAGGGCACAAAGAAAACTGGAGAGCCGTATAAAGGAGTTACGGAACATGACATTGGATTCAGAGTTAGACAGTCACACCTATTGGAATCTTCCTTTCAACCAAATAATAAAGAAACAAACTCAGTTCATTGGTTGCCACAAACTATTTGGAACAGTTTCATTGACCGAAACACATAATTAAGTCTCAGCAACGATTAATAATTTGAAATATTCTTGTGATGCATGAACTTCAAGCAGCTAATACAATAAAAATCTTTATTTCTCAAATAGTTTTTTGTGGAAAAAAGAAGCAGCTTGGAAGAACAAGTTATGTGAACCGGACGATATCTTTATCGCCTTTTTTTCTTAACAATCATCACACAATACGAGAGAATAAGAAAGATAATAACCAGATTTTAGCCTCCATCAATAAAAAACTTCTTTCAACGCCTTCAGATAGCCGTAGGGCACATTCTGTAGACAACAGTCAGTTTCGTACTCTCCAATCCCTCTCTCCCTCTATTCTCTCTTTGTTCCATTTCACATCTGATTAGACTTGTTGAATCTTCTCTTCATATCTATTTTCAGTCTCAATGCTTTTGCCCTTTTTGATTTTTTCGTTCATTGCTTATATCCAAGCAGTCAGTGTTGTTGAAGATAACTTGAACTTCGATTTGGAACTCATTAAGCATCAGCCATGTGCATACGGCTCAAGTTCACAATACTAGATTGACTTGTATACTCTCTTTTTCATTTTCAGAGAGTAAATGGACGAAAAAGTTAGAATTTGAGTCTGGAAATGATAAGAAGGGTCCAAAGCTAGAACCAGTTGATGGAAAGTCCAACTGTTTCGCCATCGGCGGCAAAGTTGAAGTGCTTCAGGTTTCTCGTTTTCTACTTCATGTACTAAGTCTTTCCTTCTGCAGGACTTCCCAGGAGACTTTTCCATCTATTTAGAGCTTAGAAACACAGCCAAGAAAAATCAAGTGCCAGAAGCTTGTGTCAAGCAAGGTTCAGACGGTTGTGGCGGTTTCGGATCCTGGTAGTTGAACTATCTAGATATCCTTGTTCATAATCGTCCTTACAGTCTATATTGTAATGCTTGTAAGACTTTCGGAGATAACTTAGGAGTTCAAGCTCAACTTTTACTGGATGGAAAGCCAATTAAGTGTACCGTATGATTAAATTCCATTACCAAGAACTTCAACAAACAAACTTTCAGGATGGCCTACCAAAAGGAACTTATGAGAATTTGAAATTGGCTTTCTGCTTACCACGTATGGAGGACATCCTAAAATCTCAAGGATTAACAAAAGAAGCTTTCATGCAACTAATAAACGAGGTAAGATAGAGAGAATACGCAAAAGCCCAAAATGAGAAGAACTGAAAGTGTGAGCGTGTAAAGAGTGTTTGTGAGACATACTGTTCATAACAAAACGATTTCGAAGACAAAATAACAAACAAAAGAAGATTCAGAAACGGTTCCACGTTTTTCTTACGAAATACTTGACTAAATCAATTTTTTCAACAGGATGCTTCATCTATCCGAGCTATGGGAGTATTCGCTACCGTATATGTGTTTGATAAAGACGTCAGCCAACAAATGCAGACACAAAATCGAATTGAAAGCGTTTATAAAGCGAATCGCAAAGGACTCTTTAAGGTAATTCAATGAAAATTTATGAAAAATGACATTTGCAAAGAAAACTAGGCTATACATCTATCAAATGTATTTTTGAACAAACCTGAATTTCAAGATTTCCTTTTTGTTCATTGAGCAGATCAAAGGAAAAGTTCAATCGTTCAAATCTGGAAATCTGCATGAGATGAAATTTCACGTGGAGTTCATAGACGACTTTCCACGTGATGAACTTCACGTCTAGCTTTATTTCTCAATGCAGAAACAGAGATGAACGGTTGTTCTTTTCCCCAGACGCACAGAAGATAACGCATTTGTAACAATAATGATTTCAGGATGAGCCTCTCCCATCAGATGTCTACTGGAGCTTACCTTTCAACATGATGATTAAGAACCAGCAAGCTTACGTCGCTTGTCATAAAATCTATGGAAACATCCGTGTTAAGAATACAAACGCTTAGAGATATATCCTATATGAAGTGTACATAGATATTCTCCTTTTTAGTAATTTATTCACTTTACTGCTATCAACTATCGTTTGTCCTTCCATCTCTTCCTTTCCCCTCTCTCTCTCTATACTGCTCTCGCGCGCGCGCTCTCTCTCTTTATCTCTTCCTTTCACTAACTTCCATACTTTCTCTATACCTCCATCATTACTGGAACGTTGGTTGAACCATTTTTCATATAAATCTTGACATACATGACATTATGCTTTTAACTTGCTTTTCACATTCTCTTTGACTTGAATGATAAAAGTATACTGAACGGTATCATCATTGAGCTTTTGTGTTCGGGTGAAACAAAAAGAAAAATATGAAAACAGAGAGCCGAACGATACAATTTCGCTTTTTTCGATTATGAGAAGATATTTTACAAGCATTTTACAACTATTGTTCCCGAACATGGCAGACGTGTGTAAATCAGACCACATTTACAGAGGAAAACCGGTTTTTCATTTATTAAGTCTTCATTACCTCGTTTAACATAATTTTCTTATTTTGGATGATGTCATAGTTCATGTTTCCCCTCTCGACTTTTCAATTTTCACTAATTGCATGTGGGATGTCTACTTGGAGCTTAGTTCTGATGTTCTCTCAGAGTTTTCGATTTCGTACAGTTCTCTTGCTTAAGCTTCATTTCCCCGTCACCAGACAGTCTCATTGAACTCGTTATTGGGCAGATCTTTCTTCATATGATTAATAGATGAATTCAATAATAGATACACATGAGACAAGAAATTTACTTGTCTTCGTTGCTGTTACTCTTTCTGGAAACAATAAGGTAAAAGCCTTTCAAAGAAACCTTTTGAATGAAAAACAGATTTGAGAGAAGAAAGGAGAAATGAGAGATGGGCACACAAAGAAAACTGATGACTTCCGAAGTCTCAGAACGTCAGAGGTCGCTTGTAATAAGCTGCCCCAGGGGTTCAACCGATGATGTGTAAAATTTCCTTTTTCAGCTTTGAAATTTGTAAAGAGGCGGGTCGTTTAGCAACAACCTAGCGCACGAGAAGATCACCTCCTCAGTCTTGTGTTGACTGTCCACGACCCGAGGTGTCTCAGGTCTGGAAGCTGTCTTCATCATTTGAACGCAGACCTTAATTCTAGTCTTTTTCTCGTTAACCCAAGTGAAAACTTGAAAAATTCTAATAAAACAACTAATATTCTTGTCAAAAGTATGTGTGGCAATAGGTCATTCAGACTGACGTCAACAACACGTCAGATTCTTCTCTTTTTCCTCGTTTCTCTTTCTTTTTGTTAGCCTTTCTTTTTTCTTCTTCACAATGCCCATCCCATTCTTTATCACCTTCATCTGCCCAACCCCTTTTTCTTCACAAGGGGAACAACTTAGACTAAACTCCTCCCATATTTTAGTGCATTACTAAAAATGACTTCGGTGTGGAAACTGGTGGCCAGTTTGCTCTTGATCGCCTCTGCTTATGCTGGCGAAATCAATGTCAAAATCGAGAGACATTTCCCTTGCTCGGCTAACTCAGGTTTGAACAGCTTCTTTCCATTTCATTATCGAGTATATCCCACTTTAAACTATCTTTTGACCTTTCGTTACGATCAAGAAGGTTAGTCTTGTCTTGCATCTGACCTTTTAGAGTGAAAGACAACCTGTACAATAAATTTAATTTCTGATATTTCAACAACAAAGAATCTCAAAGTTGAAGCTTACGAACATTTCCTAATTCGATAATTTGTTTTTCTTGCATTGTCGGAGAAAGAACTATCTGCGACGGTAATGTTTGGCAAAAACATTTTCTGTAAATAGTGTAATTTGGCCGGAGGAAATAAAGAGAATATAAGAAGAAGGAATGAGAGAGAAGAGAGGAAGAGTATTTTAGATCGAAACAATCAATTGAAAATGTCCTTGATAGCAAAAGAAAGTTGACACAAAGATGAGACCTGTTCCGCTCAATGAAGAGAACATCATCTTACACAAATCTCTTTCTATGGAGATTATTGGCATTTTCATCAAAAGTCTGAAATTCATTTTCCAGGGCCCAAAAAGGAGAACTTGCTCATTAAATTCCCTTCATATAAGACTGCTGGAGTTGAATTCCATGAGGAAACTAACGCTCAAGGACACAAGTGTTTCCGTATGAGCGGAGGGAATGTCGAAGTAAGTGAATCAAAATACTTAAAAACCTAATTTGTTTATCAAGGTTTTCGGAGCCGGACTCTCAGGGGATAAAAAATACTATGTTCACCTTGAGACTAGAATCGGAATCAGAGGAAAGCCAGAGAGATGTGTCAATGCTGATGCCAACGGATGTGGAGGAATTGGATCTTGGTAACAGTTACAAAAAAAACAAAAAAATACTGAAAGCTTGCAGCGTCCACTGCGACATCTGCCAGACAATGGGAGGATCCCTCAAGAACTTTGTTCAAATCTTCAAAGGAAACAAACCAGCCCAATGCTCAAGCCAGGTAGGTAAACGCGTATAAGCAGATTAAGCAAAACATTGTGTCGGTTACTACTATTCAAGTTAAATCATCAGTATTTGTACAGATGTCCCTAACATAATTGTCATCATTCACAATGTTTTCTTTGAGGGGGACTGAACCCTCAACTGTTACTTCAATCGCAGCGTCTTTGCACTAAGCCACATAGACATGTATTATTTACAGGGATTGGCACCAGGAAACTACGACGACCTTAGTCTCCGTGTCTGTCTTCCAACTAAGAATGAACTTCTCCCATTCTTGGACAAGGTACGTTGATACTCATATCTTCAGAAGCTATGTTCTTGCTTCAGAATGCCAGCCGTGCTGAACAACTTTGGGACTTATTTGTTAGCTCTCGCGCTCGCTCTGGGGTTAGTAATTTATCTAGCACACTAGATACTTGTGGAGCTCAAAAATAAACCGATATGGCTTATTTATTTGCAGGAAATTCCATTGGTCATCGCTGCCCGTATCTTCGACCGTCCAATCAACAATCTTGACCCTAAAATCATGAATGATTTACTTCATGATTCCAAGGATGGCATGATCGGATGTCATTGGATCTACGCCACTGTTTCTCAACAGAACTAAACTCTAGTCAAAACCCTATTCATCAAAAAAAATTGCTTTTACATTCTTGCACAGAAATAATATTGAGCATTCATCAGATACATGAAGATGTTTCAAATGTTATTTCGTTCTCAGCGATCGGGTACGAATCAAGCTACTCATCCTTACAAACTCTCCTCAAAAACAAAATTTATAATTGGAGTATTCGTCTGTAACTAAGTGATTACTTTCCCTGATTAGTGTTGTACATTTTGCTGACTGTCTTCTCCATCCTTTTCACGTATTATTTGTATGGATTATGACAAAAGAAATGAAATTTTATACACAAAAATTGCTTTTCTGTTGAGAATACGCATGGAAAAACACTCAAAAGCATCACAGATGACTGTTGTTTGGCTCGAAACACATCTGAACGGCATTTGTTCTTCTCGGACAAGACAGGTTACGTCTTCATTTGAACACAAAAGCTGTTTGTAATAACCTTACTTCTCTGTCCCTTCTCTCTTTCATCCCTTACCGCTCACGTTTTCGCCTGTATGTCTTTCTCTCGTACTCATTACTAAAAGAAAACAGAAAGCTTCTGAAAACTGTTTGTTTCTCACAATTCATTATAATCATCTCATTGTCTTCTTTCGAATGATCCGTTTTCGTGTCCTTGTGACGTCAAGCAGTCAGGAAGGTCACACACAGTTTTCTCTGAGTTGCTGTTGCGTTTTTCGTAGACACACGACACCGTTTTCGCCTCAGGACCTTGTCTTCTAGTTTCAAAGCCTGCTTGAAAATCGGCAGATGAGCAATTATAATCCGAAAACTTCATAGGAAAGACGGGATCTGCAGACGGATTGACTTCTATTACGTATAACGACGTCAAGGTGAAAAGTTCATTCGGCGAATGATCTTCCTGCCCAACCCAATTTCAGAAATGAAAGTTAATATCCATATGAATTTTAAATAATTACACAAACAAGGATAGATCAAGGCCACATTCAACTATCTGTGAAGCATTTTTTTGATTCACCTCTGAGTGAAATTGACAAAAGTTTTTACAATCTCTTCTCATTAGATTAATGATCGAAATAGATGAGTCTCCCCATAACCTTGTTCTTTCATCAAATTTTTAAATCAAAACTATAAAATCCACAAAATGCCCACCTGAGATCAAATAAGACGAGTTCTTTCCACAACTTTTGGTAACCAACAGTTGACTCTCAAGTTTCTTATAACATGAAGCAAGCGATGATACATCTCCTCACTTGAACTCTCTTCCACTACAGCTTCAAAATATTTTGATCAGAATTCAAACAAGAATTACAAAGGAACCGTGAAAATAAGCCCTGTTCTTCTCAAAAAGTGCCTTAGAGCTTTCTATTTTCGCCTTGGCATCTGTTTCAGAATACCCAAACAGACTGAAACTTTCAAGTGTTTTATGAGCGATCTCATAGCTTGGTTGAAATACCTTAGCTGTTCCCATGAGAGAGCATTCACGTAAATAACAATTGGATGAATTTTGCGATGCAGAAGCCGCGGCACCTCCGTGTTCTCATCTAACAAGCAATGTTTCTTCTGAACAAGATGGTAATGAGGGTGATAGAAGTCTAAAAAGCAACTTCTTTCTGAGATACTGTCCGTATGGATGCTTCACTTATCCCATAGAGGTACCCAGAAATCTCGTAGCAGTCTATGAAGATGCCACAATTCATCATCTGAAACACATGGAAAAACATTGAATCAGAGGCTTGTCATGCGAACTTGTTCCATTGTAGTTCGCTTCACAAAACAATAATGAAAACCATCTTTTTCATGAATTTTCCGCATTCTTGTTGTATCTGATCAATAATCCATAAAAGGTAAATACAAATATTCTTTACGAGGTATAGGCGAGTTGAATAACTGCGGTTCACGTTGTATTAACAAACTGATCATTATTCCAGCAAATGAGCCCATCAAAATCACAGGTTGTACGTAACTAACTGAAACATTTTCTAAATCTCTTTCAATTGTGATTTGAAGTACCTGTATCTCTCTTAACATCAACATAAAACGCTTTAGATTTGCGGGGAACTAAGCCTTCACAGCCAGTCCGTAGATTTTGAACAAAAAGATCATCACTAAATATGGGATGAAAAGAAAAACAAAATTTCCAAACCCCTCTTTCCTCAAGATCTTCAATATATCTCCGAAGCTGAGGTCGATGTAAGTTGGATGTGATGATAGAGCGAATTGAGCTCTGAAGAACAAAAAATGAAAACAGAAGCTTTTGGAATAGGTACCTCAGAAATTCAAACTTATTCATTGGTCATAAGATGACTAGATATGAATTGATGAAGCAAATGATACTCGTCTGATAAGACAGAGCACGAGAAATAGCAGAAAAAGGTATATTTATTAATAAAAAATGTTTATTTATGATATTATAATAAGATAAGGAACGTTCTCTACAAAGGTCAGAAAAGCAGAGATGAATGTTTGACGACTGAGAATGTCATTCGCACACAAACATTCATTCGCATGCATCACTGGTCAATGGATTTCAAACAACTCGTTCACAATATACCATTCGCTACGAGTTCTCTTTGATAACACACGTAAATCAGCATAATTCACGTGGCTTGGTATACAATTTCAAAAGCTCTCATTCATTCTTTCATTGTCAGACTAACAGAGCGGTTGTATTCAATTGTCGCTAGGAACGGTTGCGTTTCATTAGAGCCCTACCAGCTTAATGAAGATGAAAACATACCACAAACGTATGATTAAGATGCTTAATGTAAAGCAGAAACTTTCAGCCAACACATGAACATACTGTCGACCCCCCTGAATGAACAAACAATTTCTCGGTCTCGCACAATAAAAAATCTTTTATTTACAATACCTTGACTGTTTTTGATTATTTCTTCCTCTTGTATTGTGAAAGTGAAGGAAATTGGATCTTCTGTTGTCTACATGACCAGTCAGATGAAAATCCGGATGCTAAGGAAACTCATTTTTTCACAACAACTTCTTCATTTTCTTTCCTTATTCATTTCAAATTTATGGAAGTAACTTATCGTCGTAATCCTACAAGAGCTACATGGTCAAGTCTAATTCAATCCGTAAGTTCTTCCGGCTAGCTTTTATCTAAATAACTCTTATCTAATAGGCTTATGAGTCAGACTATTGGTCGATGTCAGTAACAGATTTACAACTGTGGAGAAAAGCATTTGGGAAAAGATTTGAAATACTTGTAGCTTTTGATCCTTCATTCTATCCCGTTGGCTGTATCTGCGCCACTACCTATTCACACCGAAGCTCCCCAAGTCGAACAACGTTTATTGGCTTTTTCTATGTTATTCAAAGATATCGGGGAAATGGAATTGGAAACGAGTTATTCCGTCAAATGATTTCTGACAAGAAAAACTGCAACTTGTATTTGAACTCTTGTAAAGACTTATGTCATGATGATCATTCATTAATCCATTATTGCAGCTTGGACGATGATAGAGAAATACCGTTTGCGATACAATTTTTCTATTTCGACAGATTGGAAGTTTCGATATTATGAAGTTTCGTATTTAGTTCTGCATTTGTTAAAGATGGCACAATTCAGGTGAACCCTGCACATCTGCGGTTTACAAATCCTCGTATTCCCAACTCTTCGAAGATTGTTAACTTGAACGAGACGAATCTTCAGGGAGTTCTCAAATACGATGACACTTTCCACGATCTTGAACGATCGACTTTCATGAAACTCTTTCTGACACAAGATTGTGCTGAAACGAAAGTGATTGATAACCAAGTTCTAGAATAAGGTTAAACATATTGTAGGTAGCTCATGAGGGAGACAATGTGATTGGCGTAGGGACAGCTCGACTACTACCACATGGACATCTTTTCATAGGACCTCTATATGCCAAAGATCAGGTTTGAAATTTCATTTTTATTTTACTGAAACATTTGAGTTCAAGGAAATTGCAAAAACTCTACTATTGCAACTGATAAGAGGTAGATATTATGGAAGATATGTGAACATTCAGTTTAGAATTCCTACAACAAATGAGAATGCTAAACAGTTTTTAGATGCCATAAGTGGAGAACGATGGACTTCCAACTATTATACAATAGGTAAATCGATTTGCATCATCATAAGGTTCAATCCTATTTGAGGTTTATCCACACAATCTCCATTACTCGTGAACATGGCACAAGTTTATTGTATTTGCGAAGATGATTTGAGTGCTGTCTAAGATCATTTATTGATATTTCCTCAAAAGGACAAGCATTATTAACAACTTGAGTTTTAAATGATTGCATTATTGTAAATAAACTTCACATTACATAACTTTTTACAACTTTGATGAGAATACATTGTTAAATCGCAGTTCCTCTCTCCAAATCTTCCTGAAAACGAAAGCAAATGTTGAGTAGCTCTGATGGAGTACGTTACCTTGATATCCTCCGTATATTTTCCATAAAACTTTTCAAGTTTCTCATTGAATCTTTTATTTCTTTCATTGATGTAGTCGATTGGTGCATCCGGATCGAACATTCGTCTTCTGTGGAATTGTTCTCTTCGTTTAGCTCTGGTAAGAAAATATTAACCGAGTCTTGAACATATAGTACTCACTGTCCTTTCACGTCTCCTGCAAGTTTTTCCATTGCAGCTTGAGTTGGATAGTGAGATCCGTGAATCAAAGTGTTAACACCTGGATAAAACTGTTCCTCGCCACTGTAAAGTATTTTTAGAAACAAAACTAACTAAATGATACTAACACAACTTGTCTCATCTGTTTATAACTCTTCATGTCGGGATTCAAATTAGAAGTAAGACGAGAATGCTGTCTGAGTGTCATTTCATCGTAAGCTAAATTCATAATACCATTCAACAATTGGATTCGAAACACAACTCACATGAGAAGCCTTGGTCAGGATTTTTTTTTCGCTTTCTACTAGCTTCAATTCGATCAGCAACGTCAGCTTGTGTATTCAATGCCTTCATACGGTCATAGTTCTTGCCTTCTTCTTCAGCTTTCTGAAATTATACAATCATAACCTTAAACTCATAGCACCATACCTTTCTTTCCTCCATCTCTTGTAACTCCCACTGTTCGCGTGCTTGTTTAGCTTCATGATTCTTCGGTAGTTTACTTTTTCTGTCCTCTTCAACTACTTCTCTGTGATTTTCTTTACGAGCGTTTTCCTGTAGTATCAACATCAATATTTTATTTGCTGCACCTACATACCCGAAGTTGGTGTAACTTTCTGAGCCGTTCATTGAAATCCTGTTTGGTTCGAACGCCTGATGATGATGCTTCTTTGGACATATCTGAAACATAATATAAACAATAAAATACTACTTGATGAAAAACATCATATAAAAAGGAAAAAGCACAACTATAGCGCCCTTGTTTGAGAACTTGGCGTCGAATTTAAGCTCTTTACGTATTCACGTACATATTTCTATACAAACGTCTGCTACACCATGTTGTTTCTGAACAACTATCCTCAAAGTCATTTTAGAATTGGACACAGATGAGCAGAATGATCATATTTTTTAATTTAAAAATTCTCTTCCATCTTCATCATTGTGTCAGTTTTGTAGAAAAATTGAAAAGAAATAATGTTTCGACAACTTTAGCAGATATCTGAATTCATGAACTGAACGTTCATTGCTCAGTTCATCACACTGCAGGAAATTAGAAATGAACTTCTGATCAGTGACTGCTTTTCAAATTAGAAATTTATACCGTTGTACGCGATTTCAGGTAGAACTCAAGAATCCTGGACATCTTGGGTGAAATGCAACCTTTCTGAAAGGGGTGGGAAGAATGCAATTGTTCTGGACAGTCTTGGGTGGAACGCACCCGTTCTGGACGATTTAGGTGGAATGCAACCATTCTGGACGGTTAGGTTTAGAATGCAACCGTTCTGAATGGTCTAGTATGGAATGCAACCGTTCGATGCGTCTCAGATGAGCCTTAGATTTCTACAGGTCACACCCC